TGTTTCCAGTTTGGGCACTTATGAATAGAGCTACTGAAAACATTCATGTACAGGTTTTTATGTGAACATAAGTTTTTCTTTCTCTAGAATATGATAAACTTATTAATTACATTTATCTTTTTTTTGCATGTTTTGTTCATGGATGTACTATTTTAAGTTCTTAAAACAATTCCTGGCACATAGCAGGAGCTCAATAAATTAGTGAATATGCAATGTTACTTTCAAATGGAAAGGTATAGTGAAATCAGAGTCACTAAACACATTCAGGGTTTACATCGCCAAACTCTAGACTGTGCAGTCTACTCAAACCCCAAATGGCAGGAGACTTGAGGTGAAAGACACCTGCAAGTTGAGAATGTAAAAGGCTTTTTACTGAAAGTAAAGTAATTCCACCCTAATGTTTTTGGTGGCCATCTATCAAATTCCTGATTTGGAGGAGGATCTTGGGATGAGGTTGAAGAGAAACCTCTTGGGAGAATACTTTAACAGTGATGTCAGCATAACTCATTTGTGAGCAAAATGAAAAGCCAGCTCTTCCACCCTAAGGATAACCCAGAAAGAAACTTGCTTGCGAAAGCAGGGGAGATAATGGCACCATTCTCCCCACATTGTCTGACCCCTTTAATTTCACTTAAACTCTTAGTAAAGGTCGCCAGGTGAGGTAAGAAAAAGGTAACCATTAGAGATACAACTAATGATTATAGGAGAGGTTGATGTTTATAAAGGAAGATGATTGATTTACCAGAATACTTGTTTACAGTCGTAGGCTATGTCTGCACTATGAGCTTTTGAATTTTTTTTTTTTTTTAATTTTTTTCCCCCAAAGCCCCAGTAGATAGTTGTGTGTCATAGCTGCACATCCTTCTAGTTGCTGTATGTGGGAGGCGGCCTCAGCATGGCCAGAGAAGCAGTGTGTCGGTGTGCGCCCGGGATCCAAACCTGGGCCGCCAGCAGCGGAGCGCGTGCACTTAACCGCTAAGCCAGGGGGCCGGCCCCTGCACTATGAGCTTTTAAAAGCCACATAAATGGCATTCAATTTAAAATCAGATGCTGCCTAATGCCCCAAACCAGGATAGCAGTGTACCTCATTAAAATACATAGACACCCTATACCCCTATTCATTAGAGCATGGAATTCAGTAAAAATCAGTTGGATCTTGGATCCCATCCAGTACATTATAGATTTTGAAGGCTCAACAAGATTTCAGTTTAAGGTGGTTCCATGTTTCAAGTTTGAGCAAGGGTTCAGAATAAGTTTTCTTCATTTCTTAAATAATTGGGGTTTTTTGGTATAAATGATATGGACTCAAGAAATTTCAAATATATAGCACTATATAGATAAAAACACTAAAAGGCAATCCTGTACCTATATATAAGCACTATTGATTTTTGGATGAAAATCCTTCCAGACATCTTTCCAGGTGTGTGTACGGTACATGTATATGTTTTTTTCTCCCTAAAGAGACGAAGTTACAGTGATGCTTTTAGGGTCGGGGAAGCCACCTTCATTTTCAATGAATGATCAGTACATAGAAAAAAGAAAATTAACTTCAGCATCTAAACACCTAAAACACTACAAACATCAGTGTTTAATTAAACATTTTTTTTTATTCCCCCCCCAAGCCCCAGTAGATAGTTGTATGTCACAGCTGCACATCCTTCTAGTTGCTGTATGTGGGACGTGGCCTCAGCATGGCCGGAGAAGCGGTGCGTCTGTGCGCGCCCGGGATCCGAACCCGGGCCGCCAGCAGCGGAGTGCGCGCACTTAACCGCTAAGCCACGGGGCCGGCCCTAATTAAACATTTTGAGGTTGATCTTTAACTATCAGGAAAAATGAAATAATTCTGAAATATATTGTGGTTTCTGAGTTGACCTGAATGCCATGTGGGGGTGTAGAGGCTTTGCTTATCCGGCCAGATACCCAGATTAAAGCAATTGTGGCAATTGGGAGGTCCAATTATAGGACTAAAACAGAACTTTCCACTTTTCCCAAATCTCAGGTAAATTAGAAACAGATGTCTATTCATAGTTCTTCAGCCATTATGGATGGCCAGTTAGGTGGGGTATGGCAGCATTGTCATGAACTCAGGTGAAACTCATCGCTCTTTTAATTAGGCCAGGCAATAGGCTGTGTATATGTCTGTTTTGTTTAAATATGTGTGCAAGAATCAGTTTAGTGATGCTACTGTGTGATTGAATGAACTTCTGAGTAGATCATAAAGGGTGTTTTTCTAACCGCTATAATATTCCAGAGTAGTCATTTAGAACATCTTTAATTTCCCCCATTTGGTAGCCCAATAGTTGATATACTGCCTTAAATATTCAAAAAGTCTCTGCCGTTGGCAGTGACTGGAAACTGTTGGAATTTCTGCCAAAGTTCTTGTGATCTAATCCTCTCTTGAAAGCACAAAGCTAAAGCATGTATTGAAATGCCTGAGTCAGCCACTCAAGGGATGTACTGGCTGCACTCATGTTCATTTTTCTAGGATGAAAAAATCTCCTTGGTGACCTGAGGCAACTAGCTTTTACTCTCTCCACACATATTATAACTCTGTATAGAAATCACACACACATATATACAAACACACATAAACTATATCTAAATGCTGGCATTAGCATTATATTTTCTAGAATTATGCTTAATTTTCAGCAGGTCTTGTTTAATAATTTATAGGAAAATAATTTCACCTCTTCTACTGATTGCTGTTAAAAAAACTTCCACTTCTCTAACTTTCTAATTTAGGGAAGGAAAAGAAAGGCACCTAACTATTAAATGTTCAGTATGTGTCTGGACTTTTTACTTGTTTAATATTATTCCCGTTTTATAGATGAGGACCTCAGAACAGTCAAGTGAGGTCACATAGCTCTGAGGTAGCAAGCACAGTTAATATTTGAACCAAGTCTATCTGATTCCAGAGGCCTCTCTATCACTACATCATGTTGTAGAATGCTAGGCTTTATAAAAGTCTATTATCAATATATTTTTTTTTTAAAGATTTCATTTATTTTTTTTCCCCCCAAAGCCCCACTAGATAGTTGTATATCATAGTTGCACATCCTTCTAGTTGCTGTATGTGGGACACGGCCTCAGCATGGCCGGAGAAGCGGTGTGTCGGTGCGCGGCCGGGATCCGAACCCGGGCCGCCAACAGCGGAGCGCGCGCACTTAACCGCTAAGCCATGGGGCCGGCCCTATTATCAATATTATTAAGTAAAAAAAGCAAGGTGCAGAACAGTAAGCATAATATACTACCATTGTGTGAAATGTGTGTGTATACATATATATACACACGTGTGTGTGTATTTTTGCATATGCTTAGCATATCTAGCATATCTCTGGAAGACCATACAATGATTGCTTCCAGGGATGGGAACTGGGCTGCTATTTTGACATATTTGGACAAAATATGTCCAAACTTAAGGACATATTTTTTATTATAAAATCTTTTATACCTTTTGAATTTTGTTTTATATGCATGTATTACCTATTCAGAAAAGAAACAATATTTTAAAGACTGTTAGCTATGTTTTTAGAAACATATCTGATTATTTTTTAGATTTAGTAATCCATTTGTTAGTAAAGTTTCATAGGCTTGTAAAGTTTCTAATGCTGTAGAATATTAATACTAGCTATTATGATATTGATAAGCATTGATAATGATCATATCTTTCTAGTTTTTCAATTCCCATGATGCTACTCTGACCTACCACATTAGAATTTGAGAGGAAAGTAGAATACTGATATAACATATATTGATGTTAGCAGAGGTAATGGTGACTGCTTCATCCGCATTGAACTATTTATTTACATTTTTAATGCTATTTAAGATTATAATAATCTTTGGTTTATCTAGTTTTTGAAACAAGAACACCATGCCTCAAATGACAGTAGTTGCCACTCATGACTGAGGTAAAAGAAGTATTTTATATGAGTCCTAAAACTGAATTTAAAAAGAAAAAAGTTTCTTATATACTAAAAGCCATATTTTAGTTTGGGGCTACAATTGATGGAAATACTTTATTTGGAATACTCTTTATTTTTGTATTTGTTTTGAAAACTACAATGATCTGTTTACATAGCTGTCTCCCTTACTAGTCTGAGCATTCCTTAAGGGCAGAGTCCGTGCCTCATTTGCTCTTGTGTTCTCAGTGGCTTAGGCTTACTAATGTCTGACACTTGGGAGGTAGCTAAAAATGTTGATTGAGTTGTATCAAATTGAACTAGAGATTCTTAGCTTAGTCTAGAGAAGAGAGAGCTATAATCTCAGTCTTCAGATATTTGAAGGGTTTTCATGTGGAAGAGATTAAGTTTGTTCTATATGGCTTCAGGAGACAGCAAACCAATGCGTGGAAGTTTCCAGAAGTTTCTGAATGTTGAGTCGTCAAAAGCTGGATGGCGCTGTCTCAGGAGGTACTGAATCTATCACCAGGAGATTCATTCATGGCTGGTCAACTACTGAGATAATTCAAGTATTTAATTGTTCATTTGTTCCTTAACTCATTTATTCAAACGTTGACTGAGCAGGCACTGTTTTAGATGTTGGATACCAAGACTGAATAAATCATAATCCCTGCCCTTGGGGAACTCACAGCCAGCAGGGGAACAGAAGTATTAGCAAAGAATTACAACCCAGGGTGCTAACAGTTTGTTACAGAGATGTAATGGTAACACCCTGGAGAAAGTGGACAGGAACGGCTGCAGAGGAGATGACTCTTAAGGAGAGTTGACCAGGCAGACAAAGGGAGAAAGAAGTCCTAAGCCGAAGAAACAATACATGCAAAGGCTCAGAAGTTAAAGTTTTCGGAATAGAGTAGTGGTATTTCATTTGGATTATGTGCCCTTAAAGGACCCTCCAATCCTAAGATTCTGTGTGCTGGCCCTTTAATTTAGCGTATTTTTTCACTTTACGCCAGACATTTTGTGTGTGTGTATGTGTATTTCAGTTGTCATTTTTCGTGGGAAACAAAAATACTAACGCTCTTCTTTGATTTTTGTTCGTAGTCAAGTTCATCAGAGAAGTAACGCCATATATCAAGAAGCCATCATTAGTATCAGATCTGCCATGGGAAGGTGCATCTCCCCAGTCACCAAGCTTTAGTGGCAGTGAGGACTCTGGTTCTCCAAAACACCAGAACAGCACCAAGGACAGGAAGGTCATCCCTCTCAAAATGTGCTTTGCTGCTAGAAACTTAAGCATGCCAGATCTGGAAAACAGGTGAGCTGTACCTAAGGAGAACATCATACTTACAGCTTTGTAATCTTAAGGACATGTTGCAATATTACTTATACATATTATTGTGCAATAATGTGACTAAATTATACAGAGGAAAACATCAGTCTGAGATGACAGAATAATTTTTGGAGTTCCATGTTTAAATTACTTCACACATATATGTACATGTACATATGTGGAAAAATTTTGGACAAACACACAAGAAACTTAATGGTGGTTACTTCTGAGGAGTGAAATGGGATTAGAAGGTAGAAGGAAAGAAGGGGCTTCTACTCTTCATTTTATACTTTTCTGGGGTATTATTATTACTTTTTTCGCTATGAACATGACTTGATAATTGAAAAATCTTATTAAAGAAATTTTTTTAAATGTCTCCTTAGATGGAAATTCCTTCTACTATGGATAGTGTAAAGAAGTCAGAGATCTGCATTACAGATCTGGCTGCATCAGCTGGCAGTGTGACCCTGGCAAGTTAGCTTCTCTTGACCTCAGTTTCCTCATTT